CACTTCCTCAAAGAGCTGTAATACGGGTCAAGGGCTTTAACATGGAAGGCAGCGAGCAGCCTGAAAGGGGCCCTGTGGCTGAGCCAGTGGTGAAAGGCCGGGAACGGGCCCTTCGGCAGAGTGGGCAGTGATGGCAGAAAGCTGCTTCTAGGAACGCAGCCAAGAAAGCTGAGCAAGCTGCTGTACTGGCTATGAGCTGGGCCAGTTAGCAGCACAGAGGTTGAAGGGCTGCCTCTGGCAGCAGCAGGTGCCCCGGGCGTGCTGAAAGATGTAACCCTAAGGCCGAGAGGGGGTGTACACAGCTGAGAGAAGGGCCTGCTTGCTTGCACAGCAGAGAGGAACTGACAGAGCTGTCCTGTTTGAAGCTGTCCTGCACTGAAGAAGGGAGGGACGTGCTCTCTACCACGGCGGAGCTTCCAGATCTCGCCTATGTGTTTCCTGATCCTGATCCGGATCCCGAGTTGTCCTGTTACTTCCAGTTGATCCTGGTCCCAAACTGTAGTCTGTTACTTCCCTAATAAACCACATAACTGTGAGTATGGTCTGTAAATTCTGTGTGGCCACTGCAACAAATTATTGAACCCAGCAGGAAGGGGAGAGTCCCATAGGGGGAACAGCTGGTGTCAGAAGTGGAGAATAAATTGGAGTGTGGAGGTGTGTCTGACCTCTGCCTCATGGGAACCAGCTTTGTGCTGATCCTGATTCTTATCCCTCGGGAATCTGGGCAATTTCTGATGCTCCAAGACATCAGCATATTGACTAGATCTGACAAAATGAATATTTATACAGCCCTTCAAACAACTTGTTCACAAATTGCTTTACAAAATATTTATATAAATGTCCATTCCCATCCACCACGCACGGGAGGGGGCACCCTGCTTTGTCTCCGCACTCAGGGGGTGACCACTGGCGACAAGGTAGGTCACCTGGTATCGTACTATTCCTGTCCTTGGCAAATACCGAGGCACGCATTTATGTTACTCTTACCTCCTTTGCTTTCTTGTCTTTTGGGATCTTTATGGGGCTTGTGTGGTGTGACTGGTGGGGGTGGTACTGTGGGTCTGTGTGTGCATGATTTAAATTGTTTTCCATTTGGGTTGTATGGCTTTTTGGTAATAATCTTCCTGAGAGCTGCTGTATGCTAGGCCTGGCATGTTCAAACCTCACGATAAACCTACGTATAGGTGTGTCAGCCTCCTTGGTTACAGGTGGGGACACGGAGCTCGTCCTGGGAGGTCTGGCTCCGAAGCCCTGGCAGCTCTGACTCTGTGCTGTCCTCCTTGGCGTTGGAGTATCCAGTGTCTGTCTCGGTTTCTTGTTCCCCTTTTCAATGTTGACTATATTCTGATGCTCAAATGCTTCTTTTTATGAAGTCTATTCTAGCTTTTCCTTTGTGATTTTTTTTCTATTTCCTTGAAGCTCTGGAATTAATCTCCTTCCAGTGGCTGGAGAGAGAATCCGTTTTATTCTGTCCTCGTTCTGGTGTTCTGGCTGGAGAGAGAATCCGTTTTATTCTGTCCTCGTTCTGGTGTTCGGTTTCCATTCACTTGTTTGCTGTTACTCTTCTTTCACATTTCACTCCGCTGTATGTGAATGTATCTGGGTGCGTTTTATGAGGTGAGGCTCAGTGGGTGCTTTGACAAGCTGCTGGTGAGTTCTGAGTGTTGTTAGTGAAACACTCTTCTCTTTGTCCCCTTTGTCACACACGGGTTGGCTATCAATCCGATGGAGTCCGTGTTTAGTTACGCACGTTCCTCACTGTGAGGCCGACTCCCACTGCAGTTATCTGGAGGTGGAATCTCCGCCTGTGTCATGCATAAGAAACGTCTTTCGGCACAACCTTCCCTGGCAAACTCAGTCCACCAAGGCTGCAGTGTGACCTCAACTAGAGCCACCAGGGAAAATATGGAGAAAGTGAACGGAGCTGACGAGAGAGCAAGACGAGGAAGCTCGTCCGCCCCACCCGCACGGCAGCCTCTCATCTCATTTCCACCCCAGGGTCTCAGGAAAGCACCTCGTCACTCAAGGAGGAAAGCTCGCAGGAGCCCCGAGCGCTGTGCTGTGGCAGACAGCGCGTGACATGACGCCGTGGCTGCGGCCTGCACCACAGGACCGAGGACGCCAGGCGGTGTGGCTCTGACCTCGACAGGCGGAGCCGGTGATGCTGGGCACTGCGGGCAAGCCGGACTCCAGAGAATGGCTGCACCTCCGCTCCAGGAGCAGCTCCTCCTCAGTGGGACACGCTGTCAGACCCGAACGTCACTTAACGGTTTTCGCCTAATTATCTTTCATGGACTTGTCAGAAAATCACACACTTAACAGAACTACTCGAATCTGCTTCTCGCACGCACCAGCTCTGCTCAGCCAGCGGAAGGTGAGGTACAGAAGAGCTCCTCCACACCGGGGTGAGAGGGCAAACACCAGGCCGGGCCAGGAGGAGAGATTCTGAGAGAAGTCAGCTGGGTAGGGGACAGAGCAGACGAGGGCGGGGAAGGCCCGCCAGGCCAGGAGCAGAATGCTGAAGCCAGGATGAATCTGAATGACAGATGGACAGACTGTCACATGCTGCCAGAGTGTGCCTTCTGCCTGAGGTTTCCTCCTTGTTCTTGTCCCTGTCCCCTGCTCCCCTCTGAGGAGGGCGCGGCTTCACACCTGTGACAAATGATTACTCTTGGGACCAGGTGTTGGTCTTTAGACTGCAGCCTTCGGGGCATTCTCAAGCAGAGTGAAGGACTGACTTGTGGATAAGGTGAAAAAACCCAATCCTGTTAGTTTCAAACTGCTCAGAGGTCAAAGGTACCTTTTCTTGGTTTGTTTTTCTTCTCCCTTTGATTGCATGTTAAAAGACAGAGTACCACAGATTCCCTAACAGTTATCCTCAATGAAAACCTAACTGACTGAAGATCAGGTATTCATGCTGAACGAGGTGGCAGCTGCTGCAGATTCTAAGAAGTCTCCGTCACATCAACTTAATAGCACTATTTGGTATCAATAAGTAAAAGAAAACTGCAGAAATTATTTAGACTCGAACGTATTATAAATGTTTACAAATGTAACAAAGCTCTGTACTAAATATTCAACAAGAAACTCATAAAAACAAAACAAGAGACCAAATAGCAGATGCTTTGCACTATGTTTTTGGATGTTTAGAGCTGGAAACGCTTCATGCCATTTGCATTTCCCCCACAAACACTCTTTAAGTCAGCATAAACAGGCCTCTCCTTCATGGTGGGGACATGGGGCCACCACAGGGGCTGGCCAGCCTCATGTTCCCACCACGCGACCACACTCTGAGGGCTGAGGGGCGCTGGGCTGCGTGCCAAACACCCAAACTGTACACAGTTTATTATTAATAATAAAACACGACCACCCAAATCCACAGAGGGGAAGCCACGGGGCTGCAGCTGGTGACCAGGCTGGAGCGTGGTAGAGAACACACTGGCCCTCCTCCAGCTAGACAGCCATGCCTCTTCTGCACTGCGGACTTTGCTTCTGCCTGGTAAACGGGTCTGAAATGGTTTCGGAAGTCCTGTCTTTTCCTATTTTGCGAGCTTTAAAACAATATTTTATTGGATTTTAG